CACACCCACACCCACACACACACACCCCCACACCCCCACCCCCACACACACCCACACACACACACCCACACACACACAGACCCACACACACACACACACACACACACACACACACACACACACCCACACACACACACACACACACACACACCCACACACACACGTGAGCCCTCACCTTCCGCAGCACCACACTCGGTACGTTCTTCTTCTCTGGAATCAGAAACAAGTGGAAGCAGAGAAGAAAAGTCAGCCTGCTGTTTGGTCTCCATGGTAACCGGTCAGACAGGAGGACAGGTGATCTACCTGCAGGTGAGCAGTGGCCGTCTCTGTCTCTTTGTGCCCAGCTGGACAACCGGGACGGTGGCCTGGAAGAGACGCTGAGGTCAAAGGTCAGGTAAGGGAGGGGAGGACAGCGCCTGGTTCTCTGGTCCAGATGGACCGACCAGAACCAGAACCGCTGTGTTTCCTCTCACAGCCTGCTGGTGAAGTTTCACCGTAACGGAGAGGAATCACAGAGTCGCTAGACAGAAACACGGAACAATTACAGGATGATGAGAACAAACATGGCGGCAATAAGCTGGTCACTGAGCTGAGCTCATTTCTCTGCTTTGTGTTTTATAAATGTCCAAGTTTAACTGTGAGAAAACTTTAGTCAGTATTTAACACAGATGACACAAAAATTGGGTAAAATGTAATTTAACCCTTTATGTCATTTACAACAGGCAGATAAATGATGAAATAGGACAGAAGTAGAGACTGTAGCCTTGATATGAGAGAAAACTTAAAATGGCCGCCTACCGATTAACTCATTGACATCTCTGTAGCTCCTCCCACTCTTACCTGTCCTCCAGTGATTGGCTGCTGCTCTCCGGTGTATTGAATCCCAGGCAGTAGGTGTGGTCGCTCTGCGGCGGCTCACCCAGGGCGGCACCGTCATCTGGGTGGGCGGGGCCAGAGGGCGGCTCCAGGCGTCGCATCAGTTGCAGCTGGCTCTGGGTTTTCCCAGGCTCATCTTCAGGGGCATTCACCTCCACCTTCTTGACGAAGCCTCGGGTTCCGGTGCCGCCGTTCTCCGGGTCCAGTGGCTCCATCCAGTCCCAGCCGGACCACAGGTCGCGTGACCTGACCCGCCGGCTCCGCCTCCTCTCCGCTCCGCCCCACCGCCGGAGCCGCAGCGTCTCCACAGGAAGCCTGAGGAGGACGACCGAGCAGCAGCGGAGGTCTGGGAACTGCTGCCTCCAGCGCTGTTCCATGGTTATGGTGCCCGGCGGAGCGTCCTCCATCTTGGCGTCGGGCGGAGCGTCCTCCATGCCTGGTTCAGGCTGGTGACAGAGCTCCTCCTCCTCCTCACCACATCCTGCTTCCTCTGCACAACCAACAGATTCAACCATCAGCTGATCATCACGCACACACACCTGGCGCCGTCCATCTCACCTGCCACTTCAAGCCCCGCCCCTAAGCTCAGCTCGTCCAATTGCTCCATCTTATGATGAGGCGTCCCCTCTGCTACCATGGCCAATCAGGATGAGTCCTGCGGTCTGGGGGCGTGGCCTCAGAGTCCATGCTGATTGGTTGTTACCATGAGCCAATTAGCTGATGAGCTGCCAATCATCAATCAATGGACTGATCAAAACACCTGTTGGAGAAACAAACATGTCAGAGAAGAAGAAGTGCTGTCATGCTACTCGGAGCCTCCAGGTGGCGCTGCATTAACTCAACCCTGCTGGACTTTGATTGGTTGTCATGGTAACCCGAACCTCTGGAGGACCTGAGCTGACAGTTTGGACCACAGATCAGAACCGGAACCGCCTCGCTCCTTCTGGATCTCATCCTGGATCGAGGAAACTTTCCCAGGATTCCCGCAAAGCATTCTGGGACTTGCAGTCCGCTGATGGAGCGTGCAGCTGTTGGACCCTGCAGACCGAACCTGCAGCCAAACAGAACCCAGAGACCACCCGAACCGGACCGAACCTCACGCTGCACGCGCTCTATCTGTCACTGAATAGCGTGCACGCGCTTAGACCCGCGTAAGCACGCGCGCAGCCCCGGAGCAGACATGTTTTGCCCCTCGGCGGCGGCGTGGGGCTCCCGCTGCGGCCTCAGGAGCTCCCGGTTCCGGCCCGCTCTGCCCCATGGGTCCGGTCCGGCCTGCTCGGGACCGGGACCGGATAAAGCCCCGAACCAAAAGGAATAAACGGCTTTAATGGGACTCACCGCTCCGAGACCCTCAACTGCTCCTCCTCTGCTCCGCTGCTGCCTTCAGGACTGTCGGAATCCACAGACTCCAGCCGAGTCTTTAAATGCTTCCGGTCTGAAGCTGAACGCACGAACTGACGAATCAGTGCAGAGATTACAAACCATCTCTGCAATGTTGACCGACACGGTTCTGGTGAACGTTCAGTTGAACCTGAGGAACGTTTAATCCATCAAAACATTCTTCTTCTCTTTCCGAGGCGCCCCTGAAAGCAGCACCCTGTGGCGCTCATGCCCCGCCTCTGAGCATGCGCACTGGGGGGTTGCGAATCAATCAGGCTGATCGGTTTGTTAAAAGTTTGTTGGATGGAGGAGGAGCTTCTGCGGAACCGACGGAACCGTCCGAACAGAACCATCCGAAAAGAACGTTCCAGGTCCTGGAATAAGAACCGTGAACTGGTCTTCAAGCTGTTCTGGAAGTATGGATTCATTCAAAACGAATCGATAATCAGATAATCCTTTATTTATACGGGGAAAAAAAATCTTGTAAAATCATTTCAGACATTTGAAAAAAACGTCCAGACCAGATTAATGAAGATCTGAGATTAAAATAATCTGTCAGGGCGAAATTAAACAAATATTCTTATTAATCCCTTTAGGATGAATAAACCACCTAATAAATAAAATAAAAACTGTCCATAAGTTCATAAACAAAATGTATGAATATTTTTGACAGTCTGTTCTTCAGCTGAATAAAACTGTCAAAAATATTTAATATTTACTTTGAAGACCTGGGAAGTTTTACAGATTAAGCAGATTTACCATCAATCAATCCAGATATAGATCAGCTGATGATTACTTTAGATCTCCATTCTGCAGATTTTTCATTGCAGTAATTTTACAGTAATCATTAAAAGATGCAGATAAATAATTCAGAAACGTTTTAAGTGAGCCTGCGGCAGACTGGTGACCTGGTGACCTGGTGACCCCGCCTCTCGCCCAGAACAGGAGGCAGCAGCTGCCGACCCCTCGAGGGACGAGGGCTTCCAAAATGGAGGGATGGTTTTAAATTAGTTAGTTAATGTCAAAGCAGCCAGACTCTAATCCAGGTTTGGTCACCTGAAGCTCTCTGCTGCAACAAGCAGAGTCCTTCATCAGAACCTGCTGACTGCCATGACCTCTGACCCCCACTCTGCGTCTGATCAGCTGACACACCTGAGCAGTCACATTATTGATAACCATTGATCAGTTTTTAGATTTGAAGTTTGGTAAAAAGTGTAAGCTGAGGTCAGGCTTCAGGAACCAGAAACGTTTTCTATTCCTCTTCTCTGGATTCATGTTTTTATCACCGTTTGTTGTTTCCTCTTCCAATCGTTTGATTCAGAAATTATTTCTGTTATTTTTCAGAAGGTTGAATTTCCAGTTTTTACTGTCAGAACCGATGAAAAGCTTCTAAACCTGAGAGCTCGACTCAGCGTCTTTACATCTAGTCCATGTTAACACAGTTTAATGAAATGTTTTATTCAAGACGTCAGGATGGTTAAGAAGAAGAAACACCTGGACGACCAGAACCAGAAAAACAACCACGACTTGCTGAGGTGTGTGTTCAGTGTTCAGTGAGGTGTGTGTTCAGTGAGGTGTGTGTTCAGTGTTCAGTGAGGTGTGTGTTCAGTGAGGTGTGTGTTCTGTGAGGTGTGTGTTCTGTGAGGTGTGTGTTCTGTGAGGTGTGTGTTCTGTGAGGTGTGTGTTCTGTGGTCTCTGGCGCCGTTGGGTCCGTTAGTGCCTCTCAGGCGTTTCGGCCTCAGACCACCAACCGTTTTCTTCTTCTTCTCCCTTTTCCTTTCTTGGCTTTTTCTGTCTGGTTCCGGAAAACCAGAACCTCCTGCGTTGCACAACATGGGGGGCGGGGGCGGCAGGGGGGCGATGCCTTCACTGTCTGCCTCCAGGCAGGAGAATCTGCCTCTGCTGCCCAGCTGGGTCCAAACGGACCAGAACAGAACCAAACACATGAGCCCAGCTTCACATGCTTTATTCCACATCATCATCATCCTCAGAGGAGCCGGTCCGGTTCACCACAGCGGGCCAGCCCAGGGCCCTAATTGGTCAGCTCCCTTCCGGCCTGATTGGCCGATCGTCTCTTCCTGGTTTGGATCCCGTCCTTCCTCAGTGCCAGTGGCCGATGCACCTGCAGGCAGAGGGGTCAAAGGTCACACGTTGCACCACTCCAAACTTCTCTGGTCAGAGTTAATTATTTCTGTGTGATAAAAAGTTCCCACAAGAAAGAACCAGAAAAAATCCGCTCCATAGAACCACCATCTTGGTAGGCAGTGGAGCGCCGAGCTGAACTCTGGACAAGGTGAAAGAGACGGGAACCAAATGGCTGCTGTTGGGTCGACCCGGATGAGACAGAGAATGTGGACAAGCCGCCGCTGATCTGCTGCTGCAGCTCAATGCTAGTGAACAGGAAAAGTTTATCCAACATGGCCGCTTATGATCAATGTTTAAAGGGATTTATAAAATATGTACGAACTCTTCATGTGAACAACGAGGTTCTGCTGCCTATCAGAGGGAGAACAAGTAGAAACACAGAGGCTACATGTCCTCTTAGCTAGCAGATAAAAGCTGCAGTAGCAAAGCTAACACTCAGCAGTAAAAATTACTGCAAATGTCACTGATATTTAAAAGCTGTAAGGAACTTACAGTATATAAGAGGCGAGCGCTGGTTCTAAGCTTGTGGCTTGTTTATTGTTGCCATAGCAAATGCCTATCAAGATGGCTGTCAGTACAAAGTTCCAGGAAGTGAGGCTGACCTGGTGCAGCTTGTAGTAGAGGCCACAGGCGTTGCAGACGGTGTCTCCTGCAGCGTTTCTCCTCCACAAAGACGTGGTTCCCGTCCCGCAGTTGGAGCACTGGGTTCCTTTCCTGGCTGCCACCTGAAAGCAGGAAAAGACAGAACGCTGAACACAGCACCCCCTGCTGGCTGGAGGCTGAACAGCAGGAGAGCTGAATTTCCTCCAGTCTGGATGAAGCAGCAGCCTCTGACTGGGTCGGTTCTGGCCCGGTTCTATGGGTTTATTCTGAGAACCTTTTCACAGGTTCTCCGTCCCCAGGTATATCTGTTTCTATGGTAACCAGCAGGTGTGACCTCACCGCTCTCCTCTTGGGCCTCAGCAGCGGCGGGTTCTGCTCCCGGTTCTGCTGTCGGACGCTGCAGGTGGAACACAGGTGCATTCCTGCTGCCTCCCTCCTCCACAGGAGGGCGCTGTGGGTCCCGCAGCTGAAACACTGGCGGCGCTCTGCAGAGAGAAAAGCTGCTCAGGGTTCCACCAATCACAGGCCAGAACAGCCACAGGTAAACACTCACCTGACTCACTGCAGGCCGGAGACGAGGAAGGACTGAGCAGGTCCCATCCAGGTGGGGACGGGTGCAGGAAGGCAGCGGGCGGAGCCAGAACAGGATGCCCATATAAGGAGTGGAGAGGAAGTGGGCTGTAGGAAGAGCCGAGTGACGGAGAGCTGGCGCCGTCCAATCGGAGAGGCCGTCTGAGGAGCTCGGCTTCATCCGAGGCCGACCAGTTAGCTTGCTGCAACAACCAATCAGAACCAACAACATCGTTACAGGCAAAAATATGCAAGGAAGCTCAGGTCAGGGTCAAAGGTCAGCTGTCAGCGTCAGGAGCGTTCAGGGATCTTGGAGCCTGTTGAAGACAAACGGATCCTGACACCCAGAGGAACCCCAGCAGGGGGCCTGGCGGATCAGAGGCAGCAACAGGGACCAAAGATGGAGCCCTGAGGAGCCGCAGCGCTGACAGCAGCTCCAGATTGGCCCTGATCGGCTCCTGGATTAACCAGAGAGCCAGATTTAATCCCAGCTGCAGGCTGAATCCTGACATGAACTGAAAGGAGGGCTGGACCTCCTACTGACTGGGAACCAGTGGAGCTGAACTGGTTCCACTGTGACAGAGAAACAACATGGAAAAGCACAAATAAAAAATGTCAACTGATTTCCAGATTATTGTTCCTAAAAACTTTGATCCACTAACAGGAAGAAGACACTGCAGGTCCTTACCTTCATCCTGAAACCTGATGACCTTTGACCCCTGGTGGCTGGAGACCCTGATGACCAATCAGCTGATGGAGTCACACCTGACATCATCTCTGTTCTTTTGAGAGTGAGAGCTCTGTCTGGTCGTAGAGGATCTTTGATGCAACAGAGAGGACTGAAGAGCTGCTCCTTCGGTTTGCTCCTTCTGAGAGGAGCCAGCACTCCGCCCACATCACTGGCTCCGCCCACATCACTGGCTCCGCCCACACAGCTCTGGTTCTGTGGTTTTTGGTGATGAAACCGGACATGAAGCAACATCATAGATCAGCGCTGAAGCTTCTCGGGTCCAAACAGTCCTGCCTGGTGCTCCGCTTCCATACTGGGAGGACTGGGATTCTCCCAGTGAATCCAACCAGAACCATCATCCTGAGGGAACCAGAAGGTTCTATTCCAGCTCATTTATACTGGGTGGAAGATGGGAATGAAGACTTTATTGGCCTTCCCAGTAACACCAGTAAGAGGCCTCATTCTGGACTGGAGTTCATGAAGACCAACCACAGGTTTCCATGGAAACAAGTCAGTTACACACGTCACAAAGCAGCTGATGCAAAATGAACAAACCAAAGTCAGTTCAGTAGTTCAGTACTTCTCCCCCCTCTCATTTCCAACACTTTGAGTCTTTTCAGAGGCAGGAGGCGTGTGGCCGCAGCTCCGTGGGGTCCACCACACTGTTCTGCAGGGGCAGGTCCACAGAGAAGTCGGTGGGCGGAGCCTGCAGGTGCTGGCGGGGAGGGTGACCCCCTCTCTGAGGGATGGGCAGCTCGGAGTGGTGAGCAGGAAGAGGAGAGGAGAAGAAGAAGGGATGGATGAGAGCCTTCAGGAGGAACAACCAATCAGAGATCAGCTCTCCTAATAAGCGGTCCGTTAACGAGCCACCTGGCTCCCCAGGGCTCACCTGTGTGGCGGAGCAGCGCCGCCTGGACGGGTAGACCAGGAAGCGGCAGAGCAGGTCCACAGCCTGAGGACAGGTGTCAGGGACGATCTCCTCCAATGGGATCGCTGGATTCTCCTTGAAGGTGATTTTATTGTAATCTGGCAACTCGACCATTTCCTGGAGCAGAGGAGAGAAGGCAGAGGTTCTGGTTCTGGTTCTAGACTCTGTGTGTTCTGCTGAGCGGTGAGGTGTGGTTCTTACAGGCCAGCTCTCCCGGGTCGGCGTCCCCAGGACTCGCAGGACGCAGCAGAGCTGTTCGATGTCGTTTTCCCCGGGGAACAGAGGAGACGAGTTGAGAAGCTCTCCGAAGATGCAGCCCACCGCCCTGAAACCAGAGAGCCTCAGACCGGGTCCACCAGAACCGCCGCACGGTCCCACAGAACCGCTGCAGAGTCTCTTACCACAGGTCCACTCCTTCGTCGTATTTCCGGGCTCCATACAGGAGCTCTGGGGCTCGGTACCATCTGGAGAGAGGAAACACTTCTGGGTCAGGTTTGCTAAAACGCGACGGACCATGCAGCTGCTGGTTGACTTCCTGTCTGTACAAGAAGTGCAGACAGCCTATGCTGCTTACCTGGTGGCCACCTGGTGGCTGTAGAGCCGCTCCCTCTGATCACTGAACAGCCGGGCAAGGCCGAAGTCTGCCACCTTCAGGTGACCTGAGGAACTGATGAGGAGGTTGGCGGGCTTCAGGTCCTGGACAGGAAACAAAAGCAGATGAATTCCTTAAACTGGGAAGACTGGGAACAGCGGGAAGAATGGGAACAATGGAACAATGGGAACAATGGGAACAGCGGTAAGAATGGGAACAATGGAAAAATGGCAACAAGGGAACAATGGGAACCACGGGAACAATGGGAACGGGAACTCTGGGAACAACAGGAACACTGGGAACAACGGGAGCCACGGGAACAATGGAACAACGGGAACCACGGGAACGATGGTACAACGGGAACAATGGGAACATCAGGAACACTGGGAACCACAGGAACAGTGGAACACTGGGAACCACAGGAACAATGGGAATCAAGGGAACAATGCGAACATTGGGAACAACTGGAACACTGGGAACCACGGGAATAATGGGAACAATTTTAAAAATGGGAACAAGGGAACACTGGGAACCATATGAACAACAGGAACAATGGGAACAACGGGAACACTGATATTTGTTTTATTTCTCATTCTTCTGATAAATTCTTTCAGTTTAGAAAATAAATGAGACGTAAAGTGACGACCAGTCAGCGCTGACCCGGTGCATGATGGAGTTCTGGTGCAGGAAGGCCACGCCCTTCAGCAGCATCATCATGTAGCCCTTCACCTGAGCCGGGGTCAGAGGTCGCAGGGAGTTCCTGATGACCTCAGAGAGGTCAGAGAGCATAAAGTCAAAGACCAGGACGAAGCCGGTTCCATGAGGGAAGAAATCCTTCAGCTTCACCACCTGAGGAGAACCAGAACCAGAACCATCAGAAACGGAACCATCAGAACTAGAACTATCAGAACCGGAACCATAAGAAATGGAACCATCAGAACCACCAGAAACACCAAAACCAGATCCACCAGAACCAGAACCATCAGAAGCACCAGAACTGTCAGAACCAGAACTGTCAGAACCACCAGAATCAGAACCACCAGAACCAAAACCATTAGAACTGGAACCACCAGAACCATCAGAACCAAAACCGTCAGAAACAGAACCAGAACCACCAGAACCAGAACCATCAGAACTAGAACCACCAGGACCAGAACCATCAGAACCATTAGAACCGGAACCCCCAGAACCATCAGAACCAAA